TTGGTTTATTTTAAATATTATTATTATATTATATTAAGAACATAAATTATTGATTTTGTTATGTTAATTTAGGTTTGGTTAAGATAGGTTAGGTTCGGTCATATATCTACGTTAATTTTAACTCAAATTTATAAAAAATTAGCTCATACGTAACCAAACATTCTGAGTGATAAATGTTTACATTTCTTCCGTTACACATGTAGTATGTTACCAGACGTACACCCAAATACTTGTTTGACTAGGTACACAGACCATTTGCAAAAGACACTCAGACAATTCAACAAAGTTTCAATCTTGGTGCAAAATTCTTACATCTCTCCATAATATCATCAATCTTTCCATTGTGACACATCCGAGCTATTTGTTCAGAAACAAGTCCTTATCTCCATGTTACTATATACTGTACATTAATCAACGGGCAATCAAGAACATAATGAGTGAGGGTGTGAGCCCTGAACATACCACATAGTTTACACTTCGCTGCAGTCTCTAACACCTATTCAACATGTCCATTAATATTTGTACCGAAGCCTGAGCCGCATGTGTACAGAGTCATTCCAAGCATTTCTCCTTCTACCATAAGTGAAATGGGTGTTTTGACACACATGTAGTGTTGCATGGTTTGACTTCCCTCATACATTATACCTCTCCTCACCATTTCTGTTTATGCCTGAATATTTCTCATTTTGGTTTTAATTTGTCTCATTGTTAAAACACATTCAATACCAACTTGTAGTTTTGATGTGGCGGGGAAGTAGGAAGGAAGGCAGAAAAGGAGAGAGTAAATAGTAGTGTATGAAGGGGAAAATTATACTAAAAGCATTGCAATCCATAACACTTTCGCGTTCTTGGCTTGCACTCGCCAGACTACCCCAAGGTGGCCTGGGCGTTTCTCGCAAGAGCGTGGCAACACTGAAATGTGTGTACTCTTTTCAGTTTTATCACCTCAGTTTTCGTTGTACGTCGTTCATTTTGGTACCAAAATGTTTGCAATAGTCCCTACAGGAGTATATGAATATATGAATATAGAGTATAAGTATATAGTATATGAATATAGCTTTTGGATGGCACCCCGTCCAAAAACCCGGTGTGTCACCCGCACCAAACCCAGAAATGAGCCTAGCATTACCCATAAGTGTGCAAGAGCAATACAATGTGTATACTCTTTTCACTTTTTTCATCTCAATTCTCGTGCTACGTCTTTCATTTTGGTATCAATTTGTTTGCAATAAAATTCCCTACAGGGATATTTGCATACAAGGTCCAAAAGCCCGGTGCGCCCCACCCACAGCAAAGACGAAAGTCGGCCAAGCGTTACTTGTGAGCGAGCACCCATTGGCATACCCGCAACACCTGCTCACAAATGTATTTACTTTTTTAAGGTTTCTCACCTCAGTTTGCAATAAAATGGGAAGATGTTGGCGCACATTTTAAAGAGAGTCCTATAAAGATCGGATAAAAACTTGAATTTTAACACATTTTAATTTTGGGTGTCACCTACGTCCCCAAGGAACATCCGCAGTTATTTGTGGACGTCATCTCCGTCCCTAGGAGCGAAAGTGTTAATAGTGATTTATATCTGTTGTGTGTTAGGTTATTGTTTGACCAGGGAGTGTTGAATAGTTTGATATGTGAACAGTTTCTCTCTGTGGTCGATTGTGGTACAGTATCTCTTCCACTGTGCTATTAATTCCTAGATAACAACATTTGGACTCAATGGAGCTCAGATTGCATGGGGCCTAGCATGTCTGTGTGGTAGTGATCATTGTCATCACTGACTTGCCTCTCAAATATAAGAGACTTGAGTTTGAACCCTGGACAGGGCGAAATACAGTACAGTAATTGGATACTGTTCCAGTAATATACAGTACAGTAATTGGATACTGTTCCATCACTGTTCGCACCCATGTGCAAAGCAGTACTGTAATTGGGGACCTAGATGAAAAGCAATTGGCATATCATTTTCTAGGAAAACATGGTATTGAATAATGTAATTAGCTGCAGTACCAGGCCCAAGCCCTGATTCCTAGTTTGAAATTGTTTTTCTTTAATATACTGTATTGTACTTTAATAAAATTTAAGTTATTACACTATGCTTTAGGGGTAAAGTTAGATAGGTTGGCATCCTTGGAGGAAATTTTTTATTTGTATTGGCTCTATTGAAATTTGGAATAGAGACTATTTTACACATAGATAATTTATGTTAAATGTGGCAATGAACTAAGGCCGTATAACACACATCATGCTTCACCTGTACAACAAGGCAAACAGCCCAGTGTTGGTCACGATGGTACTGAAGAGAAGACATAACAGTCAGGATGGTGCTAAAGGCAGATGTACATTCATATTAATTGTGCTTTGGTACGGTCAGGATAGTACCAAAGACAGATGTATATGAACTATCAAGATACTGCAGGCGATGAGTCACAATAACATGGCTGAAGTATGTTGACCAGACCACACACTAGAAAGTGAAGGGACGACGACATTTCGGTCCGTCCTGGACCATTCTCAAGTCAAGTCTCATTCACAATCGATTTGAGAATGATCCAGGACGGACCGAAAAGTCGTCGTCCCTTCACTTTCTATTGTGGCCTGGTCAACATATCAAGATGCTGTAGTTGATAGCTGGTTGATACCTGGTTGATGGGGTTCTGGGAGTTCTTCTACTCCCCAAGCCTGGCCCGAGGCCAGGCTTGACTTGTGAGAGTTTGGTCCACTAGGCTGTTGCTTGGAGCGGCCCGCAGGCCCACATATCCACCACAGCCCGGTTGGTCCGGCACTCCTTGGAGGAATAAATCTAGTTTCCTCTTGAAGATATAGTACCAAAGACATGCATATACATTACAAGACTATAAAAGGATAAATTCATGAATATACAGTACTGTTCTGTATAAAGTTATACTGTATATATAATTTTTAAATTGTTGAGTATTGTAAATATTAAGATTTATATATTTACAGTACTGTAGAAACATCTACAGTGGAACCTCTATTAACGAGTGGCTCTATTAACGAGTTTTTCCAGTAACGAGCAAGCCACTCGCAGCAAATTTGTCTCTATTGACGAGCTCGCCTCTATTAACGAGTGAAACCACATGGCGCTTCCTAGCGTCTCGCGGGTTCTCGCAAATTCTCGGACGCCTCCGACGCCAGTGTTGTTGTTGTATCTCACATGACAAGCATCCCTATGGATTTATTTGAGCTTTTCTTTGGGTTTTTAGTGGTTTTGCGACTACAATTTGTAACACATGATGTCTCCAAAGAAGCTGCTTGCTAAAGATAGTGTTGTCAAGAGGAAGAAAGACGCAATTACTGTGGATTTAAAGAAGGAAATTATAGCAAAGCATGAGTGTGGTGTCTGTGTGATTGATCTCACAAGGAAGTATGGCAGGTCCTCATCAACAATTTACACCATTAGTAAGGGAATGAGGAGGTAAGGGAGGATGCTGCCTCTTCCACTGAGATCAGGGAAGTGTTTGGAATGTTTGAAAAGGTGAACGCATTCTTGGAAAAGCTGTCCTGATAAAGCAGTGACAACCCGGTGTGTGAAAATGTTTAATTAATTTATCACTTTGTGATAACACTTTATGAAAGTGTTATCACTTTCGCAGGTATATGTCGCTTGAACGTAACACACTTTTTTTTCTCTTGAATGCACCCAAACACCACGCTCAAGCGTCATTTGAGCAAATATTTCTATAAAATCCAATTCTTATCCGATCGACTTGGGGATTGTATAAATGTTTGCCATGAAATTTCCGTTTTCTTTAATAACCACATTGCCTATTTGAGAAAACGGCATTGTATTGTATCTTCGTGGTAAGACTATTATATTGTTGACACGAGTGTAATCAACGTAGTTTTTTATTTGGTGCTGGTCTAACGCATCCTTGTGTGACATTTGAAATGAAATTTGGGTGAAATTCCCAAGAACAGAGAGTCCGCCTGACTCAGAGGTGGATTCTCCTTCCACACCATAACCCCTCTCATCCTTCCCACCTCCCCATCGTCTCCCTCAAGCCAGCAACTACTCTTCATAAGGTAAAGTAAATATTAAAACACTACAACAAAATATTTATATTTAAATGTGCAATATTATATTTACATAAAAAAAAGTCATACAAGTATGGATGTTTTTGGGAGTGGAACGGATTAAATTTATTTCCTTTATTTTAAATGGGGAAATTTGTTTCCAAAGACGAGTTTTCCAGGTAACGAGCTCGGTGCCAGAACGGATTAAACTCGTTAATAGAGGTTCCACTGTACAAATATGAGAATATATAAAAATTATGAATTGTATTATTAAACACAATTTATTGCACAAAACACCAATAGTATTTTATCATTGTATTAAATCTACTATAAAGCCACAAATTCAGCACAATATGAAGTCCAGAATGCTTAGAATATGCAAAGATGCATAAGTATACAGCCGTAAATCAAGCATTGACAGCTGTATACCTATGTTAGTAAAAACATAAGTAAAAATTTTTTTAGTAAAAATCTAAAACATGTTAGTAAATGTCAGTAAAAAACAAAAACAAGAATGTAGTATGAGTAGGAGCCTGGCATACTGCTGAAGAATGTGATAGACCTTAGAGTTACTGTACCATAAATTATTTTAAACCCACGTAACATAAATTCATTTGTATATTTTGAAACTTAGTTTAAAAGTGTTTATGCATTAAACTTTTAATCAACATAATGCTGTACCGAGAAAATTACAGGCTGCTTATATTTGTAATTTACTTTCTTTGGATGTGTAAATAATATATAAAATTATTTTGATGCGGAGTGAAATAACAATAGCGTGGTCTAGTGAGTAATGCATGTGTTAGGTGAAGCAGGACTCAAGTTTGATTTCATCAAACTACTCAAAAGATTTTCAAATTTGTTAAATTTTCAGCATTTGCCTTGTGTGCATGTACTTTATAGTGAATAAACTAACATCTCTTGCATGTAAGAATGCTACTAACCATTGCTAATCCATTTCTCAGGTGTTGTTGGTGGTGGTGGTACTATTATGAGCATCAAGGTGGTATCAGGTTCTGGTCTGTTACAAAGTTCACCCCCAGGTCAACCATCACAGCAGCAGCAGCAACAACAACAACAGCAACAGCAGCAACAGCAGCAAGGCCAGGGACAAGGGCAATCTCGGCCCCCACGTTCCCGCACCAATGTGGCTCTTCAAGCAATTATGAAGAGAAACTCGGCCATGCAGGAAGCCAAACAGGTAAATGCTTTTGTATAGTAGTTTCATGAGTAGTGATTGTTCCAAGGTATATCCCTTCTTTCCAATGAGTTCTTGAGAAATGTAATTAATATTATGTTAATTTAGATGATACCAAGAAACATAACTGAATACTGAATCAGCATCCATGCTTTCTATATATAACAAGTGTGTAATAATATCTCATGTTTCCCATGGTTCCCTTTTCATGGAAGTCTGAAGCCACCACTATATTATGAGAGGCTAGAACTATAGTAATATATTCATGGTATGCTGAAAACACCACAAGATCACCATGGCAGGCTAAAACTGCCACAATACCGTCATGGTAGTCTAGAACCACCACAGTATTATCATGGTAGGCTAGAACCACCACAATACTGCCATAGCAGTCTAGAACCACCATAACATAATGATAGGATAGAACCACTGCAGTATCATTCGGGTAGCCTAGAACTATCAAAGACTCATCACAGTAGATCAGCATCATCATACTGGCTAAACATCCATGACAATATTTCAGCTGTTTCATAGACTAGGTGTAAAGTACAGTACACTGCATGAATTGCCTCAGACACCAAATAATGTCTTTTATTTCCTTCCAACAGAGTACCTCCAATGAGAACCCCACCTCCCCCCACACTGGCATTTCTTATGGACTGTTGCTCATCCATAACTCATTTTCTCAGATCTCTCTAAATTTTCAGTTTATCCCTTTACTATTTAACACTTTCCCGTCCCCGGCATGCGCGCCGCAGTCTACTGCAATGTGTGCCAGGCATTTCATGTCAGTGCGTGGCCAGATTAAAATATGTGTACTCTTACCAGTTTTCTCACCTCAATTTTCGTATTATGCCATTCATTTTGGTATCAGTGTGTTCGCATTAGAATTCCTTACAGGCGTATATGCATAAAGTCCAAAAGCCCGGTGTGCCACCCGCACCAAACCCAAAAATCAGCCGAGCGTTACCTTTTAGCGCACAAGAGCACTAAAATGTGTATACAGTACTCTTTTCAGTTTTCTCATCTCAATTCTCGTGCTATGTTATTCATTTTTATATCAATGTGTTCGCAATAAAATTCTCTATAGGGGTATATGCATATAAGGTCCAAAAGATTGGCACCCCCCAACCTCTCCATCCCCACCCCTGCAGCAAAGCCAAAAGTCAGCCAAGCGTTACTCGTGTGCGAGCACCCATTGACACACTCACAACACTCGCCCACAAATGTGTTTTCTCACATGAATTTTCATGTTACATTGTTCATTTTGGTATCAAATTGTTTGCAATAGAATTCTCTAAAGGGAATACAGGGTACATGCATATAAGGTAACAAAGCCTGGTATGCCACCTGCAGCATGTGCCCAGCTAGATGTGCATGAGTGTTACCTGTGAGCATTACCCATCAATTTTCATGTTACATCGTTCAATTTGGTATCAACTTGTTCACAATATATTTTTCTAAACGTATATATGTATATAAGACAAAAATAAACAGGGGCGCTACCCACAGCAAACTAGAAAGTCCGCCAAGCTTTACATATAAGCAAGCACCTATCCGCACACCAACACTAAATTGTGTACACTCTGTTCAGTTTTCTCACCTCAATTTTCAGGTTACGTCGTTTATTCTGGCATCAAATGGTTCGCAATCTATTGGTGCGCATTTTAAACTAGTCCCATAACAATCAGAAAACACAGATTTTTTAACAAATATTTTATTTTTGGACGTCACGGCCCTCCTTGTCTCACATCTGCAGAGTTAATTGTGGATGTTGCAGATGTCCAGGGAGTGGGGGGGGGGGGCAAAAGTGTTAAGAGTTGCAATACTGACAATACATATTTGTAACATTCATATTTCTAAAGTAAATAGAACTGTGCTTTCCAGACCAGCAGAAGAAAACCCAATTGCTTCGAGGGTAAAGGGCAGTAAATGGTTTTTGCTTAAGTTTATTCAAGAACTTAATTTATAATACAGTACAGTAAAAGAAAAAGGGGGTAATGAACAATTATTTTAATCAAATGGCTGAAATATATTTTGTCACTTAAAAATCAACTTAAGTGACTCACTTAATGAGTACTGCTACAGATGCATTGTAATACAAAGGTACTATGGAATATAGGAAGTAACAATGTAAACACTGTAATCAATTATGTGTAAATTGGTGCATACAATTAAAATGCAAGAACACAGCAGCACATACAGGAAGGCTGTAGTAGCTGTAACTGAAAAAGAGACCACTAACAAGCAGTGTATACAACACACACATGGTATGCATAGCACTAACTTTAATGATAATGAGGTTCCTGAGAGATTATGACAATAGTGTACTAGAACAATCAATTACAGGACATTACTTAACACTTTCGCGCTTAGGATTATCCATGAGTCGTCACCGTATTTTATGCGTCACCGCATAACAGACGACGCCTGTAGTCCATCGAAAAAATATTTGTATAAAATCCATTTATTATCCGATCAACTTGGGAATAGTATACAAATGTTTGCCATGAAATTTACGTTTTCTCTAATAGCCGAACAGCTTATAAAAGAAAACGGTGTGGCAGTGAATCATCGTGGTAAAACAATTGTATTATTGACACGACGAGTGTAATCGACGTAGTTTTTATATATGTTGCCGGTCGAACGCATCCTTATGTGACCTTTAATACTTATGTTCTTATAGAACATTCTATTGCGAGCACATTGGTACAAAAATGAAATACATACATCGACAAATAATGTCAGGACAGTGAATTGAATATACACTTTTCAAAGCGAGTTTCGCCGATATGCTGCCGCGGGTAACACTTCGGCCACTTCCCACATTGTTTTGGGTGGGCTACGACATTAAATCTATATTTATATGCATATGTCCGTGTAGAGAATTTTATTGCGATTCCAATGATACCACAATTAGCGATGTAGGACAACTGTAGGCTTCGCAACCATTAAGAGAGTGGAAACATTTTGTTGCTGTTTGGCGCTCTTGGCGAGTGATCTGAATAGTTTTTTATTTGGTGTTGATAGTCCTTATGCTTGGGCGGCATTTTATAGGTATGCTCTTATAGACAATTTCATTGTGAACACAGTGATACCAAATTTAAATACGTGCGCCTTCAATTATTGTCAGGACAGTAAAAAGAGTGTACACTTTTTCGGTCTTACCGCATAGGCGCGCGGAGCGCCGAAAGCATCTAGGGTATTATTTTTTTTTTGAGCGCCGAGAGTGCGAAAGTGTTAATTGGGCAATGGGCCATCTCCACAAACTGTTTTGCAACAACTACAATCATCCACACCTAATCAGTCAGACATACTGACAGCAGGAATATTTAACAGACCACCTCTTGAGGGCTTCCATCAACTTGGTGGACCAGTTCCACCAAGACCAGGAGTAGATATGCCTAACAGAATGAGGGAGCCGGCTCCCAGAATATTGGAAATGATGGGAATGACACGTGCACCTCCTTCATTTGGACCAGTGGAAGGCTTAAATAATGCATGCAGGATGCACCCTCCAGGCACAGACGGCCAAGGACTAGATAGTTCTCCTCGCATGACTCAGGCACCATTCAGGCCACATCAGGGCCAGCAGGAAATGGAGACAATTACGACTCAGGCCAAAATGAATCCTGTATCACATCCACTGCTCTCGCCTGGAGCTATGAATGCCCATCTTTTTGGTATTGACGGAAGGCAGAATGTCAGTGGATCTAGTGGTCCTGGAGTATCGGGTGGTCCAAGAAATGTATTTGGGGAAAGTGATGTAGGACCACCACGAGGTCCTGGACTCTCACCACCCATGGGTATGGGCTGGGGTCCAGGGCATAATGAAAGCAAAAGCTACCACATGAGTCACCCTCCTCCTACTTTGGCGAATCTTCTGCAACAACATGCTCAAGTTGATATGAGGCTCAACTTACCATTAGATCATGGATCAGATCAACTTACTTCTGGGTTAGCCAGGCTACCTGGAGGGCCCTCTATACACAACCCTGCTATGAACACTCGCAGCCCTCCTGGTGTTGGCCCACTTGGCACTGTTCCTCTGAGCATGCTCTCCATGCCTTCCACTCAACCGCCAGGTTCCATACCTCACAGTCAGCCACCCAGAGGACAACCATTCATGCAAGAGGTTAGTGAAATTTATATTTTGTTATCATCCATACCCATATCCCATGTATCAGTTCTGTTTCCTCTAGGTATCAGCCTGGAGGAAATAGGAGAGTAATATATGAAAAGAAGGATAAAGATACATAACACAAAAAGATAACCATCCATTCTACATTTCTTTTACAGTGAACAGCATCGCATGGAATTAGTTCCATTATACACCAGCAAAGTATTCACAACATCACTGCACTACTTCATATGGCCTGGTGTAAAGTGTTTTCCATGAGCTGTTTAAAATGTTAAAAAATCACTCTGTCTTTTAACTGATTGGTTCCACAAAGCTTTATTCCCAATTACATGTGTGCTGTTCACTCAAGTCTCTGCTCCCTCACGCACATACACCATGGGCTACCCATCTTGCCATCTTTCTACTATCAAATTTATTTCCATATTATTTCTTCACCACTTTATGATCCATTCATTCAGTATAACAAAATCATAAAAAAAACTCCCTCTCTCTTTTTTTTCCTCCCTCCCTCCCTCCTTTCCCCCCCCCCCTCCCCAAGCTTATAATTTACCACCTTTTATACTTCACATGTTTCCATGACATTTTTGTGTCCTCTTCTATGTCCTAACACAAGTAAATGCTTCTCAGAGTGTCCATTTCTTTTACTCTATTTCTTATGTATGGCTCCAGCTGAAACCCAAAATCAAAATTTTAAAAGCATTAATATACTTTTATCCTGGATATTTTACACTTGCTGCTAGATAAATGATTTTCATAATTCTTAATCATAATCATTTTATCTGGAGGGATTGAAGAGTGGCTTGCTGTAGCTAGGAGTATTGAGCACTCCATACACATCACATCAGCCTTATGAGTTTGTAATAACCTACTGGAGACTGAAGCCAGAACCTGGCCCCTCATAGAGGTGCAGGGAGCAGAGGGACTGATACAGTCACCTTCACCAAGGAAGCATCCAGAAAGGAAACAAAGCCAAACAGACAACTGCAGGATTCACAAAGAAAAGAACAAAGCAACAAATGACTAAGCAAACAATCTACCCAGGAATCGGTTCGATGCCCTCTGTAATTGCAGCTGATCACCGACAGGTGGCAGCACACTGCAAGCTGCCGTATTCCCATGTCAACTTTCCTCAGTCTATTTATCTGATGTCCAAATGTATGGATTGCTTGTTGAGTTGTGAGCCTTCCAGGTCCCAACTGTTCCTAGATAAGTGTTGGTCATCCTTTGGACTGTACAGTGAGGGACCCATTTGGTTGTGTCCTTGCTTTGGTGTTAGCTTCATGTGTGTGTGTTTGCAAGCCTCACTTGTTGTGTGGCTTGCATAGATACAAGTGTCTTTTTCTGGTGGGCAGCTCAGCCTTAATTCATTTATCTCAGGTGATCCACAGTGTCATTAAGTCTAGCCAGCCTGCAGGGGTACCCTTAGGGTCCTTGATATTCACAAATTTGCACCTCTGACTGCAGTATTTTCCAACATGTTTTACACTGATATCTGTGCTCTGGAAGTCTAACAGGGTCTAAGTGGCTCAATACCTGCTCAATGTTTCAAGTCCCCTTTGGGCTTGTGTTGCTTTGGGTCAAATTTCCTGTCCTGGTGTCTCCTCTTTGATGGTGTGAGTGTCGCTCTCCTCCCTGATAAGTCCCTGTTTTCTTTTACACCATGGTTAGTTACAGAGAACCACCATTTGGTGCCTCCAGAAAACTGGCATTGAATTGTAATGAAACTCCTCTTTCTGGTTGGGCCTCAGTGGCTTCCTGGTGCTCCCTCCCCCCTTCCAACCAGGTGCATCGAATTGTTGTCCTGGACTTCAGACTTAGGAACGTTGACATGGGAAGTCGGCAGTTTCCAGTGGTGCTGCCACATGTCGGAGATTACTGCTCATCCTTCTAGATGTTTCCTTGGTGAGAATGACAGTATATTGCCTTCCCCCCCCCCCATCCTATTCCCCTGCACCTCTGTGCGAGGGCCAGGTTCAGGCTCTGGTCTCCTGTAGGCTATTACAGACTCCTAGGGCTGATGCGACTCGAGTGTGGAACTATCTTAGTACAGCTAGGTACAGGAAGCCATCAAGACCCAATGAGAAAGAGGTGTTTCATTACATTCAACACTGGTTTTTGGCTCGGGAACAGTTGGCCATGCCTTTCTAAAGTCTTGTTTTCCACCAGATACCTGTATAGAGTTGCTTAAAACCAGAATACAATATTGGATTTCATATATCCTATGCAAAAGGTAAGGACTTTCTTAAAATATGCTATGTAGTAACTAAGACAGATAAAAAAGAAAGTAATATAATATTAGTTTAACGATGTATAATGAGGAATACTGTATAATGCATTCATTGTTTTGGCTAATATAATAATGATATAACAGGTCAGATATATGGATGATACTTATAAGATGCAGTGTTATTGTATCACATTCATTGTAATATTAATGCAAATTTCTAATAGGTAACAGTGAGTAATATCATAACCTAAAACAGTATAGATATGACTTTCATAATGAAGTTAAACTAATTTTGTCTATGAAGTAGGAGATTCCATGTTATAATTTGACAAGATTGAGGCAATAAGATGAAATATCTCCATATGCTCATAGACATGTCTTGGGGTTTCAAAAGGTCTTTTGAAATCTGTTACATTTAGAAATTATGATTATATTGTGATACAAAAAGCCATTTGGGTTTGAGTTTGAGCTGCAAAAGTGCAGGTGTATTTTGAAGTTTGACAGGCAGATCGTTCATGTATGTTGACTCGTGAAGTGGATGAACAGGTTAGACTGTGTGGGAAAGATGAGTGGGAGTGTCAGATTCATCCTGAATCTTAAGTGGTTCTAAGCATTTAATTTTGAGTATTAAGGAATTGGGGATAATGTTGTTTCGATGCTTGTATGCAAAGAGTGAAAATTAATAGTTTAATGGTGTCAAGTAAGTTAAATAGCAGGTATTGGTTCAATCTGTTCTTAAATTATATTATTCTTAAAATTTTAATGTGAAACAAAGTGTTCTTATATAAGAAACACTGGTAGTGAGGCAATTATAGTACAAAAAGAAAGAATGGAGACGACTATAGTACACAAAATTTAGTGTTGAATATGTGATATTTTCTCCAGTTTTGTAAAGCATTGCCTGGCTCATACCTTAAGTGGGTTCTGAGAATTCTAATACTCCCAAGGTCTGACCTGGGGCCAGGGTTGATTTGTGGAAACTTGGTCTGGCACTTCTTGCAAGAAAGTGTCTATCTTTTTCTTGAAGGAGTTGGCTTTTGTTCCTGCAGTATTTCTTATGCTTCCTAGGATGGTACCACATAGCTGTGGACATCTAATGCTCATACAGTGTTCTTTACTTGTGCCCATGGCACCTCTATTCTTCACTGGCTCTGTTCTGCATTTTTTAACATATCATTTGCTCCAGTATGTTATTTTACTGTGTGAATTTAGGACCTGGCCTTCCAGTATCTTTCATGTATATATTATATGATACCTCTCTTGCCTCCTTTCTAGAGATTACACTTTTAAGGCATTGAGATGGTCCCAATAACTTATTATATCTATGCAGTACTTGCTGTATATGTTCTCAGTATTTCTATTTCAACAACCTCTCATGCTCTGAAAGGGGAAATGATAGTGAGCAGTGCTCAAGGTGGGATAGCACAAATGATTTGAATAGTAGGAGCATTGTGGTGGAATTCCTGGATATGAAAGTTTTCATGATCCATCCTATCATTATCCTTGCTGATGCTATATGTGCTTGGTTATGCTTGCTAAACTTTAGATTATCAGATATCATTATTCACTAATCATTTATGTGTTGTTTTCCTTCTATGAATAGATCTGATCACATCTTGTATTTTGTATTTCGTTTATGTTCTTAATTTTTATCATTCCTAAGTATGTGTATCTGCAATTTATCACTGTTAAACATCATGTTATTTTCCATTTCCCAACTGAAGACTTTATTGATATCAGCTTGTAGTTTTTCAACGTGTTCTACAGAAGTAATTTTCATGCTGATATTTGCACCTGCAAAGGATGACATGGAGCTTTGACTTGTATTTTTTACTATTTCTGATATGAGAAGGAGAAAAAGCAGCTTTCCTGGCCCATTCTTTACCAAACTCTTTGATCATTGAAGTGAAGCAAAGCTGGGTAAGGCCTGTCCCCTGGGGTACAAAGTTTTTCACTGTGATTGGACTTGATTTTATTTTAATGATTGTTACTCTTTTCATTCTGTTTGACAAATTTAATATTCATTGCTCTATTTCACCTGTTATTCCTATTGATCTCATTTTATGGGCTGTCACTCCTTGATCACATTTATCAAATGCCTTTGTAAAGTCCCTGTATACCACATCCACATTTTATTTCTTGCCTAATGCTTCTGAGATTTTGTCATATTGATTGAGTACAGTAATTGCAAAAGGCAGGATTTTCCCATTCTAAATTCATGTTGTCTTGGGTTGTGAAGATCAATGTTCTCCATAAGGGTTGTGAAGATCATTGTTCTCCATAAAATTGGAGATCTGACTTCTAAATACTCTTGCAAAAATTTAATTATTAGTGTTATTGGTCTATAGTTTTTAGCCAAGGTTTTGCTACCTCCCTTATGTAAAAGAACTGTATCTGCTAATTTAAGTGCTTCAGGTATCTCCTCTGTATCCAAACCTTTTCTCAAAACTTCACTGAGTGCTCATGCTTCTGGCACCTTACATTTTTTATAAATATGAAATTACAGGAATCTGAGTCTGGGCCGAAGTGCACGTTGTCAATTTCTCTTACAAAGTCTGCTGTGCTCTTGTTAATATCAGTTACATTGTTGGGATTGGATATCGTTCATAAAGAAGCTGACTGGATCATCAACTTTCCTATTATTTATTGGGGTGCTAAACACAGCCTCATTTTATTTTTTAGGATTTCATTCCTAATACAATGAGCTTGCATAGTAGTATTGCATGGTTGATATAATCAAATGCTTTACTCAGATATAGAAAGACAG